CTAACCACAAGTCACACAAGCAATTCCCTTAGACACTCCAGTTTCCCAGTATCACCACCTGTGCCACTCGTTATGGGGCCAAATGGTTATGAAAACCAATAACCCAGTAAAAGAAAAAGGGTTCTCCTGATCCCAAAGGCTCAAGCCCCAGACCCAGGTCAATATACAAATTAGATCTTACCCACAAATCACGCTGTTGCCAATCCTTTAGAATCTAAAATCTAAAGGTTTATTCATAAAAGGAAAAAGATATAGATGAGAGCTAGAATTGGTTAAATGGAATCAATTACATACAGTAATGGCAAAGTTCTTAGTTCAGGCTTGTAGCAGTGATGAAATAAACTGCAGGTTCAAAATCAAGTCTCTGGAATACATCCCCAGCTGGGATGGGTCATCAGTCCTTTGTGTAGAGCTTCTGTTTGTAGCAAAGTCCCTCCAGAGGTAAGAAGCAGGATTGAAGACAAGATGGAGATAAGGCATCAGCCTTTTATAGTCTTTTCCAGGTGTAAGAACACCTTTTTGTTCTTACTGTGGAAAATTACAGCAAAATGGAGTCTGGAGTCACATGGGCAAGTTCCTGCATACTTTGCTGAGTTACAAGGCGTATCTGCCTTCTCTCCATCGGTCAGCTGTATAGCTGATGGTCCTTAATGGGCCATCAAGCAGGCTAGGCAGAGCTAACACCAACTTGTCAGGGATTCTCCCAGAAGCATAGCATAAGTTTGAAATACAGACAGTATAGAGCCAATATTCATAACTTCAACTACAAAATTGATACACACATATAGACAGAATAATTATAACCAGCAAACCATAACCTTGTCTTAGACACCTCATTTGACCCCCTTTATGCAAGATTTGGTGCCACTACAGGACTTTGGTTGCAACCATGTTCTATATGGTCCCAGTTCAAATCAATAACGTGACACCTGAATATCGGGACAAATGGGGTCCCGATCGTACATCGATTGGGATGCGGGACAAAGGGTTAAATATCGGGACAATCCCGATTTTATCGGGGCATCTGGTCACCCTAGTCACACTCCAGAGAAGGACTAAGGGCCCCAGATGGAAGCGGTACATCATTTGGGAATAGAGGGACATGGCAATCCCCTGAATATCCTGTGCTTGCTGAAAGGGGGAGAAATCCCACAGAAGATCTTATGGTTGGTATATTATAGAGGTGGAGGAATCCCCCAGAAGACCTTACACATTGTAGGGAGGTGTCCTAATGGGAGCTAAGATTTTTGCTCTCTTCAGGAAGGAATAAGGAGAATTGCCTGAAGATGCAGGGTTCAATGAGTCTGTACTTCTACTTAGAATTAAGTGTTTGAAGGGAAAATTGCCTCTAATAAGGCAGATATTTCACATGCAGCCTAAATACTGAATTGTCCACCCTGTATCTGTCCTGATAGTTTAGGATATTCTTTCTTAGAATGGGGCAAAAGAGTAGAGTTCAGATCTGAATTAAACTGCAAAGTCTTGGGGCGGCGGCTTTGGACCCATCTCTGCTTCTTATCGTACCTGGAATTCTTACTGGCAAGATGCAATTACTGAAGTGGCTCAGTAGGTGCATGTTATCTCTTGATGCACAGATGGGCCATTTATTATGCACTCAGCACAGTGTGTCGTCATTGCGCACCTGACACTAGTTTTTGTAAATTCAGATTAGAGATCAAAGGCAGGTCAGCTTTTTAAACGGAGCACCCGGCATGTTCCAGTGCCTAGTGCAGAGCGTGTGACATATGGCATGAAAGTTTTGAGGGATATAAAATGTTAATCACTAAACCTGGCAGAGTCAAACCTTTTAATCTTTATTGCAGTTTTCTAGGGAGAGGCAGGTTATGGACAACACCCCGGAAAAGCTGAAGAAAGAGTTAGAGGAAGAGCTGCTGTTGAGCAGCGAAGACTTACGTAGCCATGCTTGGTACCATGGACGCATTCCTCGGCAGGTATGTCCCTCCTGGATCTTCCCTTCACAGGCAAAGCTGTGGGCTTTCATATACAGACACAGACAGGTTAACACTGGAGTGTTACATACAGTCTGCATGAGGTCCCCAATTCAATAGAACCGGAATGCCTTCCAGTGTGAGAGAAAAGCGGTGTCTGATATTGTTTACTTAATATGCCTTGGTGAGAAATGAAACTGAGGGAAGAAATCCACTTTTTCTTATACTTTAACAAACGAAAAACCATCCAGTGAGGAGAGGTAAGAATACTCCTCTGTGCTATAGACAAGAGCTACACTCTGTCCCCTAATATTGTTGTTCAGCTGTTGGCCTGAATTTAGATTGGTATGATTATCCAGAATTGAAAAATGTTCCAATCTTCTACCTTTCTTGAGTCTGAAATTATAAAAGAGCATACTAGTAGTAATAGTAGTAATAATAATTAATAGTTATTTGGAGTCGCTATCTTTTTATTTTGGTCTTCTACACCAAAAACATCACGAGCTCCCCCTGCTGGCTCATCATCAACATGCACCTGTCAGACACTGTTCTCGCAGTTATGAGCTTTCCTGGGGCCATCAGCAGATGCTGAAAATCAAGCAGAGCAGTCAGAAGCAGGCAGCTCTGTGGTTTGAAAATTAATGAATTAATGTTTGTCAAATGGGAAGGGCCAGCTTGGTTCAGAAAGAAACAGGGTTTTTTCAGCTTTTATGTGCATACTGCAAAAGAAAGAGAAGAATATGTGAAACCCATTTTAAGAATAGCTCTTTGTCTCTCGTGAAGTAACTGGAAGTAATAACTAAAAGACAAATTCTGGTTGCCTGCAACAATGTCCTCTAAAATTGTGTAATTGTGTGTGTGTGTGTGAGAGGGAGAGAGAGATCAAAAGTTGTGTTATGTACTCCAGTATTCTGAGTAACTTCATTCCCCTTCACAGATGAGTTTCTTTTGACAAATTGGGGAAATATGCACACAAACACGTGGACTGCATTCTCTGGCCCTGTCCTAGAAGGTCCTCACAGACTCCTATTGCAGAAAGTCTGTGGAATGGCCTCTGGAGTTTAGAAGGAGCCAGAATTAGAGAGGGCAACATTCTGCCCCACGCTTTTCCTCCATCCTGTCTATTCTGGTTTTAAACCTGTGCTCACAGAGCAGCCAGAATTGGGCCCTACATTTAGGATTAAATAACAGGACTCTACTGATGTGATACTAGCCAAGGCTGAGTATTCCCCTTCTGACTCCGAATGTGGGGTTTTGTTTTTGTATGTTTTCTCTCTAAGGTGGCAGAAAGCCTAGTTCAGAGAGATGGAGATTTCCTGATTAGGGATTCTCTCTCCAGTCCTGGAAACTTTGTTCTTACCTGTCAGTGGAAAAACATCTCTCAACATTTCAAAATCAACAGAACAGTCCTCAGACTCAATGAAGCCTACTGCCGCATTCAGTATCAGTTCGAACTTGAAAGTTTCGACAGCATCCCTGGGTTAGTGAGATGTTATGTGGGGAATCGCAGGCCAGTATCAAAGCAGAGTGGAGCAATTATTTTTCAGCCTATCAACAGGACCGTGCCACTGAGGTGTCTAGAGGAAAAGTACGGAGTATCTCCAGTTCGACAAAAGGAATGCAATATCACTGAAGGAAAAACAGAGACTGCAAAAAGGCTGAGCCTCAGTATATACGGCGTGCAGTCCCAGGAGCACAGCTTAACCAGAGGAAATCTTTTAAGGTACTTTTCTCTTGTTCCACCATCTTCCATAAAGGGGAGTCAAGAACCCAATCCTGCTCCCACTGAAGTCAATGGGAGTTTTGTCCTCTACTTTCAAGGGGAAAGAATCAGGCCTCACGATCTCATCTAATAACTCATTTTTAAGGGCCTGATCCAAAGCCCAGTGAAGTCAGTGAAAAGACTCCCACTGGCTCCAGTGACTCCAGTGAGCTTTGGCTCAGGCCTTACGGCTGGTCCACACTAACCCCCCACTTCGAACTAAGATACGCAAGTCGAAGTCGAACTATCTTAGTTCGAACTTACCGCGGGTCCACACGCGGCAGGCAGGCTCCCCCGTCGACTCCGCGTACTCCTCTCGCGGAGCAGGAGTACCGGCGTCGACGGCGAGCACTTCCAGGATCGATCCGGGATCGATTTATCGTGTCTAGACAAGATGCGATAAATCGATCCCAGAAGATCGATTGCTTACCGCCGGACCTGGAGGTAAGTATAGACGTACCCTTAGAGGACTAACAGCTGTAATAAGGAGCTTTAAGGTACCTGTCTTCAATTATATTAATGTAAAACACAGAGATTACTGATGCCATTTGAATATGGCAGCAGCCCAGTTAAGTACAGATATTCTAACAAGCTAGATGAATGGTGTAATCAGATTTTGAAAATAATCAGCTCTAAAATATCTTTGAAAAAACATGATTTGGGGTTTTTGCAGTGAGATCCGTTTCCTCAGCAAGATGGTGTTTGCGCTCTGTAGCGCTGGTTCCTTTCACTCACACTGGTGTGACTCAGGAGCCTCTCCACCGAAGTCAATGGTATCAAACCAGTGTGAGTGAAATTGGTCTCTGTAAATACAATAATGGTGCAGCTTGTGCAGTAGCTTAGAAATAATAAAAATACTAAACATAAATTGAAGGTTAAAAAAAGTAAAAGCTTTGTTGTTACTCTCAAGTTGAGCCCTTTTTCTTCTGCTGCTGTGAAGAAAATGCCACAAATGGGTTAAGAGAGTTAAAAAGAGAGAAAGTGAGATGGACTAAAATAAAGTGCACTAATAAAGCTGACTGTTTGGAAGGAGACAGCCGATGGATTGTAGTTCTTCATTACTGCCCAGTTCAGGTGTTGTATTGAAAAAGTCTTAGCATGCCAGCAAAAAGGGAACCAAACTGCTATAGCAACTTTTTGACTACAAAAATTCCAAATCATTGTCTGAGATTCTCACCTGGATCCTGGAATCTGATCTACGCAGCTGGACCCATATGCCTCTATGGAGCCACCCTGACTTGAACGGGACTCTGGGGGAGGAGGGGCTAGCCCATGAAATGTCGCAGTGAAGTCAGTGGGACTTCAGACGAACGCAGAGGGGTGCCTGTGCAGCAGTGGGGTTGGGCTGCTAATGCTGTCTGCTTTTGAACTTAGAAATGCAGTTGGTAGATGCTGTTAATGCCTTTTATGAAAACTGAATGTTGGCTGAACAAGTCGTTCATCCAAAGCCTGTAAATAACTATTCGGCATCTGATTTTCCTGGGAGTGTCAACCAAAGCATGTCCGTAATTACTCTCCTGTGGCTGAACCAGGGCAGAAATGGAAGGGCAGCTTTCTTTTCTGTTAGCGCAGTGATACTCAGACTGAGGCTCGCGAACCGCAAGAGGCTCTTTAATGTGTCTCCTGCAGCTGTTTGCGGCACGTGATATTAAACCAGTGGTGTGATTTAATTATTAACTAATCAGGACGTTTTTACTGTGTTATTAACCAATTGAAGTTGATAAAACAATAATAATACTTGGTCAGCCATTTTGCTGTGAGAATAAACTAAATATTTCTCCCGTCATCTGAATATATAGTTCGATAGTAAATGAAACAAATAATTCACACTCCTGTGGCTCTTTTGGGCAATGTTGATCGATAATTTGGCTCCTGAACCGCTGAGGTCTGAGTATCACTGTGTTAGAGAATGGGTTCTTAACCTGAAGGTCGTGACACACACTCCAACCAGGGGACACAACTCTTTATGGCTAGGAGAGAAAAGGAGTCACAGATCTTTCCTCTGCTGTAAGAGGGGTTCACAGCATGCAAAAGGTTGAGAATAAAGCATTAATTTCTGCCCTGCCATGTTGTATGATTACAGACCTATTACCATGTTTCACAAAGCAATAACTATCAGTACTCAATGCTCAGAGCCAGATCTTCGCCCATACTATGGCCCCTTTGGGCTGCTCTGGCAGCATAAGGGACCCTCTAAGCTGCTGTAAGTGGGAAGCTGAGGACTCCCCTTAGTTCTGGCACAACTGAAGATTGGGCCTGTATATTAAGTGTCCTACTGCACTTTAATGATATATTGTTGTGTTGCCTTTTTCCCCCCCTCAGAAACAAAGAAAAAAGTGGTAGCCAGCCAGCTAGTTTGGATCACGTCCAGGAGAAAAGATTCCCCCTAAAGGCTCACCAGTCAGAAAGCTACCTGCCAATAGGTATGTCTGTAGGCAGATTTCTAATAACTCCTTAGAAGATGCATGCCAGCAGGCAGTCAGCCTTCTACCCTGTCTTCAGGTTACATTTTAATATGCTAGAGATTTTCAGAGACTGAAGCCCACATGAAATTCACAGTCTCAAGTGTGAGAGTACTGAATACAGTTAGCATCTGATGACTGTTCAGTGGCCCATGGAAATGAAGTTGATATACTCATTATAATTACTAGACCAAGTACTCTATTTCGAAGGCACCTATCAGCTTGGTATGGCACCCTAGTGATCAGGTTTACACATCAGAAAAATGATTATTATGCTTGGCACTAATAAGTCCACTTCTTGGCAGTGTCACCATCTCAACCCTAGAGTTTTACAAGACCCTCAAGAGTTTCACTGATACCGTCCTGCCCATAGCTTCTTGAGCAGCTGCGGTAAACCTGATGCAATTTTGTACATTTCGCTGCTATTACTCAGGTAATGCAGCTAATGCAGAATCAGTACTCTGCTATTTTCCACCACTTGTTACTGCTGGTGGTTAGGGAAGAGGAAGTGGGGCAGCTGTACGCTCTGTTCCTCTTATCCTCCTTTGATCTTCCTCTCTCTGCTTATATCACAATTCTGCTGCCCCATGTAACTTTCCTGGGCGGCAGCAATATGAAATTTACAAGAATGTGGTCAGTTTCATTTGCATTACCCCACTGATAGAAGACTTACTAGCACTTGCCCAATTGCCAGAGAAATTTTGCTTACCTTCCCCCCACACCCACACCCACCCTCCAAGCTACACCCAGAGGGGAAAATTGTAAGGGAACCCCCTTCTATGCCAAACAGGAGCACTGTGTGAGGAAGCTTGCACTGAGGTTGAGTGTAGCTCTATGGATAAATTCTGGCCTTTGGTTTCCAAGGCTGTCAATCTTGAACTTTTCTAGAGCACTAAATCTGTTTGAAAAATAAAATAAAATGGGTGTTGTTGGTTTTAAACTGATTTCTAAAGGCAGGAGTTCTCAAACATTTCTGTGGTGTGGACCACACCTTAATAGAGAGATTGTCTAGTCATGAGCATCTCTCCTTCCACTGTACTCCCAGACATAATTGCACAAACTGCCTTCCTTCCCATTTGCGATTGGATGAACGGCCTTCCTCCCATTCATGATTGCAACAACATTTATGTAGCACCTATAGCAATTACCCTGAAAAGTAAAATTAGGAAAGTATTTCATGTGTGATTTATGTATTTATTTATATTATGATGGTGGCCAGAGGCCTCCAATCAGGAGCAGGGCCCCTAGACACCATACAGACATATAGTAGGAGACAGTCCCTACTCTGGAGACCTTACAATCTGGGGGTCTTTAATGCAGTGCAGCAGCTGGTAATGAGAAGTAAGACCAGCATAATGTGATCAGTCAGCTCTCTGCAGACAACCAGCAAGTGCTCCGTTGGCCACAATTTGGGAACTTCTGTCTTCAGAATCCTGCAGCCAGCCCTCATTTGATGTCAAGGGGATGTTTGCCTGTGTGCTAACTACAGGATGGGGCCTATGTGTGTAAATATTACAGTGCACACACGTTCCCCCACATTTGAGTCAACTGTCTTCTAGGGATACAGAATTAGAATCCCTGAAGTTCATTCTTTTCGTACCTCACTACATGCCCAGACTCCACTTTAAGGAAGTTTTTCTTTCATTTCAAAACTTGTCATTCTTTAAAATGACTCATATGCCTCGTGTGGTGCAGCTATAAGATTCTGTTTTTATCTGGCAGATCAAGTTACAAACTCACTCCTATTCCAAGCCAGGACTTTCCAGCCTTTGTGTGCTGTGGGGATGTGGGTTATTGTCAGTGTTACCACAGGGTGACATTACAGCCCAGCTGCTCTCTGTATTTGGGATTTTGTGAGGAGAATTTGCTTGGTAGCTCATCTCTTAAAATATACGTTTTAAACAGTGTTTGACAGAATGAAGAATTTACATGATCTGAAACACTTCCCCCAGTAAACAACAACAGCAACAAAAAAAGAACTGTAAAGTGTATCTCAGGATTATATGTAGTATTGCCTTAGATGCTATTATTACATCATAAAAAATGATTCTGTTCTTCACCTATAGGTTCGAGGCATCCATCTCAGCTACCTGAAGTAGATACAAGCCCATGTTCAAATTCCCCTGCATTTAGAACAGGCAGTGAACCTACTCTAAGCCCCACAGTAGTTCGGAGGGTCGCTTCCGAGTCGCCAGTAGGAGAAGCTCTTAGAGGATCAGACAGCCAGCTCTGTCCCAAGCCTCCACCTAAACCCAACAAAGTGCCCTTGCTGAGGCAACCTCAGTCTCCTTTAGCTTGGCACAGTTCAGAGGCACACTACTGTGAATTAAACCCTGCTACCTCCATAGACTGTGGAGCAACACAGCAATCTCTGTCTCAGAAGAGCAGCTACGTGGAACATCTGATAGCTAAAGAGAATGGATTGCTCTCATTCAGGAACTCTGAAACAAGTTATCTGATCCATGAAGATGATGCCTTACAGAGCTCAATGGATCCATTAGCAGTTTGGACAGAGATGGCTGAAGAGGGCAGCATGTTTGTAGCACCTGTTCTTGAGACAGTATCCAGTTTTAAACCAAATGATTTTGAATCCAAACTTCTTCCTCCTGAAAACAAGCCACTTGAAACACCAATGTTAAAAAGAGTTAAGGAGCTATTCACCAACAGTAATCCAAAGATTATTGCCCGGCATATGCTTAGAATGGACTGCAAGGTAATTTTTTTTTATTATTTGGTTTTTAATAATTGTAAAGGGAAGTAACTTTTCTGCATGTCACTGGATACCCTGCCAGATTAAGCTTTTTAAAAAAAAAAGATTTGAAAGAATTAAAGGAGAGATCTGGGACTAAGGTAATGTATATATTTACTTGGGGGACTTGCAGAGATTTATCAAGGGGTAAGGTTGGAAAAGAGTTTTTAGCCTCTGAAGAATGATTACAAATTTGTCTCTGGACCAAAAATCCCTCTTAGTTGTCCCTAATTTTAGACCTATATTTCCCTCCATTCCAGACAAATTTGATGTTCTCTTTATTTGTTGTAGATTTATTTACAGCAGAAATGCTGACTCATGAAACTGAGATTAGGAAAAATGGTATTTATTCTGAAGGAATGAATCCCATATCAGAGAGAGAGAACACCACACATTGCTCATGTTACTGGAAGGCACTCAGATACCAAAATGGTGGGCATGAAATAAGAACCTGAATAGAATACAATCTGTTTTAGCTTCCTGTCTGAATACTGCTCTGCTAACCCTTGTTTGGGTCTTTGGGCCTTGACAGGATGAGAGGTAGTGGAAGGTGGCTGCAGAGCCTTTAGATGCAGTTCTCTCCTCCCATGCCATTTGTATCCTCTAGTTGCACACCTTGGTAAGCAGGGCCGGCTCAGGCTTTTTTGCCACCCCAAGCAGCAAAGGAGGGGTGTGTGGGGGGGGAAAAGCCGTGATCGGCGGCACTTCGGTGGCAGCTCAACCGCGCCGCTTCATTCCTCGGCGGCAATTCGGCAGCGGGTCCTTCGCTCCAAGATGGACTGAGGCACCCGCCACTGAATTGCCGCCGAAGACCCAGACGTGCCACCCCTTTCCGTTGGCCGCCCCAAGCACCTGCTTCGTTCGCTGGTGCCTGGAGCCGGCCCTGTTGGTAAGCATCAGAAGCGTGCAGATATTTTTACAAGGAGGCAGGCTTTGTTATACAGGCAAATCGTTGAGCAGCGATTCTGAACTCAGCAACATGGAAAAAGGAAGAGAGAAATTCAAGTACAAACAGCCCTTTTTACAGGATAATGATTTTATTTAAAGGGAACATGAAACCCATTTGAATTCTAAGTCATTTGAAGTGGATAGTTGTGAGTGCTGTATCCATTAGAAACACAGTATTTGAGAGAAAGAGTGGTATGGCTCACACTTCTTCGGTGTGAACCTGGTTCCAGATCCTCAAAGGTATTTAGGCACCCAATTCCCATTGAAATCAGTAGCACTGGGTCTAATGAAATCCAGGGGAGTTAGGGTATGTCATAATTGCAATGCCTATGATTCAAATGACATGAAACCCACACATCTTCTGGGTGTGGTGTTCTGTCCCATCTAGTGGCACTGAGACCACTTAGAGAGCAATTAATGAGTCTGCCCTACAGCCTGAGCTAAGAGGTTTTTTGCTCATGTGACAGAAGCTCATGCACTAAGCTCCAGAGGCCCCAGGTTTGATCCCACCCGCCGACGACTGGGATCTGTCAGCATTACATGGAGTAGCATTTCAAATAGCATTTCCTTCTTACTGCCATCAGCTCCATTACACTCCTTCTATAGTCATTAGAATTGAATGGTTATTGATCGATTCTAAATAATGGTAGCACCAGCCAGCCCACTGCAGAAAGAATGGAAAGGCCTTTCCAGTCCTGCTGCTGCTTGTTAGGAGTGCTTCACTGCGAAAGCATACTCAGGGTTTGTTAGTTTAAAAAGGGCACTGGAGGCCAAAGAGATGGTGCATTGTAGTGATTTCCTAATGGCATATTTGTGCACTCACATGAGGCTATGTAGGTGAAATCAGTGCATCAGTTAATTCAGCCAGTCATTTGGGAACTATATTAGTGAGAAGTGATATTGTTTCTAATTATATTAAAAAATGTACATCACCTGCCCAATATCCAGAGGGGGGCAATGGCTCCTCCAGAGGCAGAAATGGATAGTGCTGTTTGTTATAACTCAAAACAAACTCTTCTCTCCAATGTTTACTGTAAAACTTGCCTCATAAAGATACAGCATTTGTCTCATCTGCTACTCACTGAGCATGAGATTTAGAAGAGCGTTGGTCAGTTTTTAAAAAACATTTGCGTGCTCAGTGACCTAGCAAGGGCTTTTTCTCCCCCTCTGTGGTTTCTAATAACTTACACAGAGAACTGCACAGTTTCTCCAAGACTCATTTAGGAGTCACGTTGGTGAATGGGACATGTGACTACTGTCAGCCATAAAAATGAACAAATGGTGCTGCAGTAATTTCAGGTGTATTGAGTAATGACAGGTAAACCTGCCTAACATGGATATTACACTGTAAGGTAGAAAGAACCGGGTTGTGCCAGTTTCCCCAACAAAATGCTACTGCTAGTACTCCCCCAATGCTAGTATACTTACTAGTGGCTCCACAGCCCCAAGGGAGCATGATTAGCCAGGTAGGGGGGTGGTTAGCATACCCACCCTAACCACCTGCTGGCATCCACCAGTAGATGCTGAGGTAGCATACACCTGTTTCTTTCTGAGGCAGTGGCACTGGCTGCTTCTAAATGTGCTCCCCTAGGCCCTCCTGAGCCATTCTGATGCACATGTGTCCCTCATAGACAGAATGGCTCAGCGAACCTCCACTTAGCAGCTACACCTCTGCACCACCCTTCCGGAAGAAATGCCAGAATTTGGCTACCTTACAGTCATAGAATCATAGAAGTATAGGACTAAAAGGGACCTCATCAGGCAGGAACTACTAAACCTAGACCATCCCTGACCGTGTTTGTCCAACTTAAAAATCTATAGTGATGGGGATTCCACAACCTCCCTTGGAAAACTATTCCAGAGCTTAACTACCCTTATAGTTAGAAAGTTTCTCCTAATATTTAACCTAAATCTCAGTTAATGCAGTAATGTTCACAGTCCTCTTTATAATAGCCCTTAACATATTTGAAGACTTATCAGGTCCCCCTCAATCTTCTTTTCTCAAGACTAAACATGCCCAGTTTTTCAAACTTTCCTTATAAGTCATGTTTTCTAAGCCTCTTTAGAAAACTAATAGTTCTAATAATCGCACTTCTCTAGCCCTTATTTTTTTCAAAGCCCAGCGCAATCTAACTAATCTAGTACCTTTTCTCCTTCTACAGTAGAAGTTTTAAAAATGGAATTTTAAAGCCATCATAATAAGAAGAATGGCTTTCAATCTAATAGCAAAAGTGTGTGTTGAGTGAAGTGATTCCCTTAGATGTACCCTAGTTTAGTAGGAAATCTTAGCGGCTGTAATTAGCCTAGCAAACTTAATTAAGACCTCTGCTTCCATAATGGAACATTAAAAGATCTGTAACAAATGTGGCTGGAGATGCTTCTTTCTGATGGCTACATTCACTCGGTTTGACTCTTTCAAAGTGCCTATGGGTTCTCTTTCAATCTTGCTTATTCCCCCTGATCCTGTGACCATCAGACTAATTTAGATGCAACCTGAAATGACAACCTGTTCTCTGCCTGTGCTGCTGGGATTGAATGATTGTCATCTGTCTGGAATTGGTTATATACTATTGGTAGCACAGAATTCTAAAGTATTACAACAGATTTGCATACAAACAGGGCCACATTAAAGCCTGCACACTATAGATTTGTGTGTAGGACCCAAGCTCCTGAAGTCTGATTACATCAGAATCTCAGCTTTCATTTAAAAAATAAAGTTTGTAGCCCTCAGAATTGTGAAGGAACACTCAGACATTTACCAGGTGTAACTGAGGTAGTGAAGTCTGCTTGTCTGCAGAAAGCCTG